TTCTAAGTAATCAAAAATAGTTAACAAGGGGAACCTTCACTGTATCTGCTTCAGAGAGTAAAAGGAATGTAGGCAATAAATAAACAAAGTCCACAGTCTTGTGATGGACATCGATAAGGGAGCTTTGCTGACCCTCAAGCGGTTCTATTTTTCTGACTGGGTAGGAGGCTAGAAAGATGATAACAAAAAATTCAGTAATTTAATTCAACATACATGTACTAAGTGCCTACTCTGTGTTAGGGAAGCAAATATGAAAAATAATATTCCCTTCCACCAAGAAATTTGCAATTCAGTAGACAGAATGAGATGCATAGAAATAACTATAGTATAAATTAGAAAATCTTTAAATTTAATGTTAGAAAATTAATAGATCAAATGTAAATTATAGCTCTTGAGACTCAAGTTAAACCAACACTATCATGGAGTATACCAGTTGGTGCTATGCTTGAATTTAGATTTCTGGGATGGCGATTTTGGAGGGTTCTAGGAGAGAAGGGCCAGAAGCCAGAAGGAACAGTCATTCCTGCTGTTACCCACTATCCAGGGAGGAAGGCATACAGCCATAATAAAAACAAAGATCTCTGGTTCATTGATTTCTGTTGATCAAGTGACTATTCAATCCTTATCTTAACAACATATGATAATCAAAAGATTATCAAACCCAGAATTTTTTCCTCCATCACCTGGTTCTTGAAAAATTTCTATTCTTCTATATGAAGATGATATTATTCTGCTATCATTTATTTATATAGATCTTTGAAAAGCTATTATCTAAATTCAGCAACTGCTGCAGAGAAAAAAATCATTAAATATTAATTATCCCACAACTACAGTGATGCTTTGGGGAAAGAAACCTAGCAAGTTGCTATGGACTACAAAATAGTCCATCAACCAGTGCTAAGAATTAAATATCTAGCTCTAGGCAATTATTTCAATGAAACGTTCTCTTGGAAAATGCATACCAAGAGGGCAGCTAGGTGGCGCAGTGGATAGAGCACAGGACCTGGAGTCAGGAGGACCTGAGTTCAAATCCGGGCTCAGACACATGACACTTACTAGCTGTGTGACCCTGGGCAAGTCACTTAACCCCATTGCCTAGCAAAAAAAAAAAAAAAACAAAAAAAAAAAAAAAAAAAAAAGAAAAAAGAAAAAAAGAAAAGAGAAGAAAATGCATACCAAAATGATGAAAACCACAGTCACTTAGACCATGGATGCCATATTGAAATTTCTTCATGCAAAGTGGGGTCCACTCTTACATCATCTTCTGAAACAAAGCAGTTGGAATTGTAAAGCTGGAAGCCCTGAAAAAGGATTCATTGAAAAATTTCTCTTTTTGTGTTCTATTACCCTGATAGCTTTATACAGGTGTAACCCAGGCTGGCCTGGGTATACCAAGTTTGGGTAATATGGAAGCGCGTATCCCCTACCACATGAGTAGAGGTATTCTCCTTTGACTGGCAGCCTTCATTTTTAAGACTGTTGACTATGTCTATCACTCTTTTTTAGCTGTGTTTTTTCCATCTCTTTCCTGCTGCTCTTTCTAGCAAATTTTATCTGATGTGTGCATCCAGAGAATGAAGATCAGAGTTCACCAGCAGCCTGGGCACCATGAACTGAATCTGGGCATGGAAGCGTTTGCTTCTGTTCTGTGTTGTTTGTCCTCAGTTTTACATGCCAGGGATGATCCTCGTGTGGGACTTGGGAGTTTGGGCCATGGTGATCTTGGAGCCAGAATTGTAGAAGGTACAGTCAGCCATCTTGATATGGAATCCCTAGGGTTCCTGCCTCAAAAGCTTGAGGGGTGTTTTGGACTTTGAATTGAGACTATGCTCTATAAGAACCAAGCTAAACTATGACTCTAATTTCCTTCCCCTCCCCAGGGACTGATGTGTTTTTTAAAAGGGAGGAGGATTATGCTATGGTGAGGGACAAAGAGTGAATCAGGTTTGTATGGGAAGGCAAGTGTTAGGCTAGAGGCTCAGAGCTAGATTCAAAAGAGGTTTTATTGATTCATATTTTATAACTTGCCAAAACCAGGAAAGGGCCAAAAGAATTGTAGACACATTGCAGACTTTAGCGGTCCTTTTGGGAGAAGGAGTAGAGTTAGCTCTTCTGAGGCCATTTGTTTCAGGCACCTTCAGACAAAAGTTTAAAAAAAAGTTTCCTCCTCCCCCAAATGCAGTAGGGCTGAAAGTATATACTTAAAAAGGAAGTCATGCTTGGAGTGAGTGGTACAGCCCATCCAAAGGTGGGAGCCTGCCAAGAGGGAGTAGTTAGTTCTCTTGCTCACCATCTTATTACTGCTAGAATCACATATACCTACTAATAGAAGTGCTAGACTTAGAAACTTGCCTGCAATCCATACCTCTAAAGACTGCACTGTGTATGCTCTTTGTTCTCTGCATCCTACAATGGCCTTTGGACAAATGCAATAAAACTTGATTTACTAATGTGAAATAAACTTTGTATCTATGATACTCAATCACTAACTTAAGATTATGCTATTAAAAACAACCTTTAATCACATTATTATATCTGTTTTCATCTCAGTGTGAGGGATACTGTTTACTTCTGTTTTGCCAGGAGGCTTCTTGCCTTGGTCCTAGATCCAAGATGTTAGACATGTGGTGCCAACACTGCAACTGAACTAGATTAAAATGTAATCCAACACAATAAATAAACAAAAACATAATTTAACAAAATAAATAAAAATACAATAGAACATAGATAATGTTATTGTGTGGTTTTCTAAGTCAATATACAGCACACAGGAATCCTTATGTGTGATTTAGTGACCCCCATTTCTTTTTATACCACTCACCTAGATGACCAAATCATTAAGGAAAAATAATAGTAGTATAGCAGTGCACAGTTATGTAATATTTTAAGGTTTATATACATTATCTCTTTTGATCTTGACAGAGAAGTCTAGTGTAAAGAGCCAGGGTTCCCCTTCAACAGACTAGAACCTTCTCCTTTCACCTCTATCTCAGTCTTACCTACTGGGGAGTTGGATTTCTCGGAAGGTCCCTAAATCTGATGAGAAGTAAAAACTCTCTGGACACAGATACCAAAGGTTCCTCAGTTTCCACATTTGTAAAATGATGAAAGTTGAACAAGATAATATCTAAAGTACCTTCTATCTCTATATTCTTCTTCCTCAAGAGACCTAGAGTAGTTCTAACTAGTCAACAGCTTTTAATACCTAAAGATTTCCATTATAGGGATAGGGAAGAGAGGATCAGGTAATTCTGAGATATCCAAGATAATAGACCTTATTTAACAAGAGAACCCTGTAGAAGCAGCAGCAGCCTTGGGGTTATTCTTTAGCACTTTGACCACTCTGTCTGAAATCTTAGTAGCATTATATTATCAGACCTGGAATCTTTCCTATTCCTGTTTTTCTGGAGTGATCTACGTTGCCTTATAGCCTATAACCAAGGCAGTCTTTACCTAAACATAAAATCTTTTTGATCCCTGATCTGTACAGTCCTCGTTATCTATAATTTTTATTAGCCCCTAATTCCTAACAACATATTCTGTGTAATTTTGTCCTATTTTGCCAAACCTAAGTTAACCTCTCTATTCTAACATAGCCCTGCCTTGCTCATGCCTATTGAAGGTGTCACAAAGGAAACACTAGAGACAATGCATACTACTCAGACAGAAATTTCCCAGTATCCTTCTCCTTAACCCCTCCAGCCAAGGGAATGTTGCCCTTTCCATGGGACTATTGGAGGCCCTGACTCCAAAATCTTACAGACTTGCTTATACCTATTTTTGGACTTAGTGGAAGAAGAAAGAAAGAATCTGTGAGAGGCAGGAGCAGTAGAAGGACTCCCACCATGAGGTCACCAATACAAATACTATAGAGCTGAGGTGGTATGAGCAAATCATGCAAAAGACACATTGGGGTGAAGTCCCTCTCTCTGGAGAAGGTAAGGGTACAATTCTGATCTTATTTCCCTAGGGCATGGGTTTCTTATCCTATTTCTTATCTTACTCTTGTGTATTTAAAAATTTGTTTTGTTTTCTTAAGGGAAATGTAATAAAGCTATTAATGAGTTGATAAACCATGTGCTGTTGCTTAAATATAATGTTCAGTGAGGTGGTTGGAGCTGGGCAGGAGAGACAGATTTTAAACTGATGCATTTTGTCAGAATAAGATTCCTGGTTGGAGCGTCACAGCTGATAAAGAGAGTTATTGTTGTTGTTTTAAAACAATTTCCCAGGTCAGAGAGAATAAATTCACCGGGGTTTCTTTGAGCAGAGAAGTTAGCAACTATGACTGGGCAGTTGACTGGGCAGTTAACTGGGCTGGCATGGAGGTAGGCATCTGCCATTATCTCCATCTGGTTTGAAAGAAAAACAACTCCTTCAGTAGGAAAAGGACTTTAGCAGTGGCTAGAGAGAAAATTAGACTCCAAGGGGAGGAATAGCTCAGCCTACAAAAAGGAGAGGGTCAGTGTGCGTGACTGACAGCTCTGCTTACCTGTATATAAGCCACCATCACTCCTAAATCAGTGACTATCCTGATGGACTCTGTTTCCACTAAGTTCGTCACCTTTTTCTTGATCCATGTTGAAATGATCAGTCCTGCCTAAGCCATTATTTTAAACATATGCCATTCCTACCAGGGTTTGCTGCCTTCCCAAGACAGGGCACTTCCATTTTCTTAAAGGAAAATTTAGGTACAAAGGCTGAATGACTTGCTCATAGAAGGAAAGAAAGAGTTAACAAATCACCCAAGTGATGAACAAAATCCTAGGGTCTTGTTATACCTGAAATATAATAATCAGATAAACTTGTTTTTCTTAAAAATGTTTTAATAAAATATTACACACATTTATTATATATTTTCTTATACAGATATTATGTCCAGGATTGTTGATGTGGATCATAGTACTGTAAATGTAATTGATAGCAAACACAAGGTCTGTCAAATAAATAAGTTTCAATTTTTTTTGGTTTTGAAACTCTTTTGTAAGCAAATTCATCTGAGGAGCCCTTTTGGAGAACAGGAAAAGAGGAGTTTGGTCTTTTTTCCGGTTTTCTTTCCTTTCCCACTTGGGCCAGGGGAAGGAGCCACATTTGCTCTCTAGGAATCAAAAGTTACATTGGAGTGACCTTCTGGGAAGCTAGAAAGGTTGCCCTCTCCTTGCCGTTTTCCCCATTATCCTAGAGCTTAACCTAAAAATATAGAAGCACCAGAAGAGATTCGCTTTTTCAGAGAGCTGGGAATAAGATAATACAGGGGAGGTGAGGCCAATGGGAGAGAGCAGGAGAAAAGTGAGCTACTGTGATATAGAGGAAGAATGAATATACGAGAATAATTTATATGATGACCCCTATAATGTAAAAAAAATGTAATATTGATGCAATATTAGACATCAGCACCCTGATGGATGTAGGGAGCAGTCTCTATTTCAGAGGACTGATTGTGAAACATACCTTTCCTCCTCCTTTTGATGGACTCTAGGGATTGAGTGAGATCTACGTTATCAGATGTGGTTAATATGTTGGTATATTTTGCTTAACTAAACTTTTTTGTTATACGGAAGGGTTGAGGGGAGAGGTGGAGCTGGAGGAGGAAGGTGGGGAGTCATTAGAAAGTGACCTAGATTTTTTTAAAAAAGAGTATCAATAGAACATTTATTAAACAAAATATGGCTGAATATCCTGACCCAGGTAGGATATGTAGCTCATCTCAGCCACTTGAAAACACTGGTATTAGTATGTTGATCATACGTCCATTCAAGAAAAAGATAAGAAGAATTACCTATCTTGCTGCCTATGTATCATTCTTGCCAGGCTGGTCTCCATTGGGGAAATTGCCTTCCCTTAGATGATTCAAACTAATTGATGCCATTCAGGTAATATTTATCATATGATTTTTTTTATATGATATGTGGAATCCTCAGAAATTCTCCTACATCTCTACTTCTTTCCTCACTATCCTGCTCCTTCCTCCTTTTCTCAGCATGAGTAAACATGGCCTGGAAAAATTCGCAAGTGAAATTCCCAACCTAAACTCTGGTACTAGAGATTGGTGAGGCCTGTCTCATCTGGAAGTTCTGCTACCGTGGATTAGACAGAATAAAAGTAACATGCCTTCATGAGAGAGTCCAGGGCTAACAGTCTCTTTGTAATCAGAGAAGTTCTCTGGGATGCTGCAGGTCGCTCAGAAGCCTCACTAGCTCTCAAAGAACCCCCACACAAAAGGACTGAGGATTCTAATGAGATGAGAGTCAGTGGTCCGACTCCTGGACCTGTTGGCCACACCATAGGCTGTCAGAGCGCCACTTACCCCCAGGTAGCACAATTCATTTATACTGAATATTCAAGTTTCCAGGTTCACTATAAAAATTTTTTCTCCGACTGGCCCAGGATCCGAGAGAAGCAGTAAGGGATAAGGCTAACCGATGTCAGAGGCACGGCCGCACTCTTGCAAAAAGATAGAGCGTAGAAAAGCATCTCCACCTGGGATGGGGGTTTGAAAGCATCAAAAAGATGCAAGATGACCAGTGAGGCCACAATACAACACAGGCGGAAGGGGAGCTGCTTTTTCTGTTTCCCTTTGCGACTTTCCTTGTACATACTGGAGTTGAGGGCCAGGCCCAGGCCAAAGAGGGTCCCAAGGTTTTTGAGCAGACTGGCAAAGGGGGTGGTGTCAATATGGACCCATTCTGGCCGCTCACACCACTTCTTGGCTTTCTCTAGGGTCCATAGGAGGTCAATCCCCATCCCTTTCAGCATCAGGTAAAATCCAATAGCAAAGCTGAATAGGAAGAAGGTGATCACAATATACTTCTTGAGACTGGCATTGTAGATGCTCTGGATGTGTCGGAAAGTTTCAGCAACAGCAATACCTGAAGAATCGCCAGACAAAAATGACATTAGGAACGGAGGGGAAATCTTCAGATATAACATTAGAGTGTGTTGCGCCACCAACCTTGTCAGGATAAGAGACATCAGCTTGATCTGAATAGCTATCTAGTACAGTGTTGCACTACCAAAGTCCTTCTTAAAACCTACAAAGTAAAAAAAAAACCCCAAACTGACAGCTCCTCCTTTTCATCTTCCTCCATCCTGCTCTTTCTGTGCTGGACTCCTTTGTCCCTAGCACCTGGTCTTGGACCCTTGAACTATCTAGAATAACTGCTGCCATGGAGGTTACCTAGATATTTTACTAAAATATAATTTTGGGCAGCTAGGTGGTACAGCAGATAGAGCACTGGGAAGAGTCAGGAACGCCTGAAATCAAGTCTAGCCTCAGACACCTACTAGCTATGTGACCCTGGGCAAGTCACTTCACCTTGTTTGCCTCAGTTTCTTCATCTGTAAAATGAGCTGGAAAAGGAATGGCAAACCACTCCAATATCTTTGCTAAGAAAACCCCAAATGGGGTCATGAAGAGTTGGACATGACTACATAACAACAAAAGTATAATTTAGGTCAAGGAGACTTTTATCTAGCTTGTATCACTGCTTTTGTTCCTCTCTCTTAATTCTATGTTCTCTCCCTCCTTTTAACATTTTCTAATTTATTTTAAATATGTTTATATGAAATCACAGATCCTGACCAAAAAAAATTTTTTTTGATACATCTTGTGGTTTACATTATCGGAATTTTTAGAAGTACTATTTCTTCCTCTCCCCCCTCCCCCCAATAAATTAATCCTCTCCTTTGAAGATGTAGGGGACTAAGGGTATGAAACATGGACTAGGTTGATGAACTGTTTTTCCTTATCTTTAAAAAATTTTGTTACACAAGGGATAACAACCTAGGTAAGGGAAGGAAAACAATTAATTTGGAAATGAAAGTAATGGAAAAAATAGAAAGGATATCCACAAAATATTTTTAAAACCAAAAGAATTTTTAAAATAAAAATAAGATGAGTTTTGACAGCAGGAAAAAAAAATGAACCTTCCCTTGTGCCCTATTCTGTTCTTAAAGATCTCTAAGCAAGGGTAGACCAGAAAGCATTGTGAGAACAAGGACTGCGTCTTATCTAAACTTTGCATCTGCCCTAGTGTTGAGATTGAGGACAGCGTTCTGGATACAGTAGGTATTTGCTTAATAAATGTTTGTGCAATGAATGACATAATGAATGGAGATTCCTATATCTCCCTCTTATCGAAAATTCCAAGGTCTTTTGCTACAAGTACTCCCCCAAAATCAAAGTTCTTTCTTATGCCTGCCCCAAATGCCTTCCGCTGCCTTTTGGGCTCAATTTGTAAACTATAAGCCTACCCCACTTTAAGAGAACCAGAATGAGCTGTGTGACCATGGGCAAGTCACTTAACCCCAATTGTCTCACCAAAAACAACAATAACAACAACAACAACAAAACAAAAAACTAGAATGCAGGAAAATCTGAACTAACAAAAATTAATAAGGGTCTATTTGTGTTAGAAAAAGATTCCTTTATATATAGAACTTCCCTAGAGTTTTTTGGTTATTGTTATGATTTGGTAAACTAACTTGAAGCTAAGCCCCTAGGAAAACCTATAATGGAGAATATGACTCCATTCACAAAACTGTGGTTTCCATATCACTTTTCGGAAACTTAAATATTATATAAAGCAAAGCATACCTTGCTGTCAAAAACAGCAACGCTCTAAACTTTCTACCTTTGATTTATAATCCATTAAAATCCAACAGTGTAAATGACATTCACGATAAGGGTGGAATGTTGCATTGTTATAATTAAGGAGGAGCCAGAAGGAAGATACTGCAAGTACTACTGACCTGAGAGGACTCCAGCAACAACCTGATGAGGGAAATGGGCTGCGAGATAGATTCGGGACAGACAGACGTTGAGCTGCACAACCCAGAACCCCAACCACAGGAGCACGTGCAGGCACCTGCAAAAGGAAACCCGAACCCAGCAGAATTGAGATACAGAGCAGAAACGCCATTCAATAAAAAAGCCTCTGCAAGAACATGGGGCTACCTTAGGTTCTTCTAGTCACAAATCCTATTAGATTATAATAGTTGTCATGGAGCCTTAGAACTAGAAGGGAACTCTAGGCCAAAATCTAGCTAAAGCATTGATTCTCTCTCCAATATTCCCAACAAGCGGTCATCTAGCCTCTATACAAACACTTCCAGGAACAGAGTTCACTGATACTTTAAGGGTAGTACATTCCATTTTCAGATACTTCTATCAGTATATTGAGTTGAAATTGAACTCTTGTAACTCCTACCTGCTGGTCCAGGTTATTGCCCTCTGGGTTCTGAACAGAGTTTCTCTTTAAAATCTTTTATATAGGGGCAGCACAGTGGATAGAGCACTGGCCCCGGAGTCAAGAGGACCTAAGTTCAAATCTGGCCTCAGACCAAACACTTGACACTTACTAGCTGTGTGACCCTGGGCAAGTCACTTAACTCTATTGTCTAGCCAAAGAAAAAATCTAAGGCAGTGATCACACCCTTCTTTCTCTAGGCTAAACATGTCTAGTTCTTTCCAGTGATCATCATCACTTTAAGTAAACATCACATAAAGTGATCATGGCTCCCTTGCCACCCCGGTTGCCTTTTGGATACACTCTGATTTGCCAGGGATCCACTGACAATGTGGTGTACAGAACAGGACACAATACTCCAGAGAGTGACAAGTCTGACCTGGGCAGAGTGTGATAGGGCTACCATTTCTTTTGTTCTGGATTAATGTGACCCAAGAGAGCATTAGCTTTTTCAATGACCACATTACCCTTGCAGCATATTGAGTTTACAATCCACTAAAACCCTGAGGTCATTGTCTCCCACATCCTGCACGTGGGTGACTAATTTTTTGAACTTAAGTGAATGATTTTACTTTTTTCTGTCTTAAATTCCACGTTGAGAGGCATTGTGGCTTAGTGGATGGAAAGCTGGCCTTGGGGTCAGGAGGACCTGAGTTCAAGTCCTTCCTGGGACACATACTTTCTATGTGACTCTGAGCAAGCCTCTTAACCTCTCAGTATCCCCAGGCAATTTTCTAAGACTATACACTGCATAAACAGTGATGACTTGTATTAATTAGTAAAGGAAGTCCCTCAACCAGGAGTTTCATAGGCCTAGAAATCACAGGTCAGATTAAATAAAAATACCAACAAACATTTATTTTACTCAATTATATCATCCAATGCATTAGCCCTCTATCCTAGCTTTGTGTCATTTGTAAATTTGATATAAATCCCAACTATGTTTCTGTACAGGTCACTGATAGAAATATTGAAGGAAGGGAATAAAGCACCTACTATGTGCCAGTTATCATGCTAAGCACTTTACAAATATTATCTCATTTGATTCTCACAACAACCCTGTGAAGTAGATGCTGTTATCATTCCCATTTTACAGTTAGGAAACTAAGACGAGCAGAGGTTAAGTGACTTGCCCAGGGTCACAAAGCTAAGAAATGTCTGAGGCCAGATTTGAACTTAAGTCTCCCTAACTCTGGGTCTATCACTCTATCCAATGTATGTCTACCTGGCTGCCTCAGAATAATGAACAGAACAGGACTCCTGTTTAATAGGAGTCCCTCAAATTTATCATTCCCATTCTAAAATATAAGAATATACTGGGGGGGAAGGAGAAAGAGAGGGAGAGAAAGTGATTTGTCAGCTAGAGAGCTGATTGATTCCTTTCTCCTTCCCTTATTCTCTCAACCAATCACTGAAACCTTCCTTACCGGAATCCGAGAGTCGACTTCTTCTTTCCACGAGTAAGGGAGAGGATGGATGTAACAATTACATAGTATACACCTGCTGCACCCATGGCATGGCCCGAAGGACTACCTGGAGGACAGGAAAGAAGCACAGTGCCTTAGATACTGGCAAAAAAAAAAGGAAGGAAGGAAGGAAGAGAGAGAAGAAGGAAGGAAGGAAGGAAGAAAGAAAGAAAGAAAGAAAGAAAGAAAGAAAGGAAGGAAGGAAGAAAGAAAGAAAAAGAAAGAAAGAAAAAGTACTTCTGTCTTTCCCTAGCTTTAGAAAAATTCCATGTCCCCCTTCACCTACTATCACCCCTACAAGGGCTCACTCTGGGAATGTTCTGTTGTTTGATTGAAAAATACCAATATGATTTTAATGAATAAAGTTCAAGCAAGGTGTGGCTGATGTACCACTGACTTAGGTGGTTCCACCCACAAAGCTAGGCTGCTGGCCAGAGAAGAGTATTCAAGGTCTCTGGCCACAGCTACTTCCTTTTCCCTGGAGGAAAAGAGGTCAGGCTACCCTTTACAGATCCAGGGCTTCTGCCCCTTTCCTCTGTGGGGAAATCCTAGTTTGAGTGCAAGACACTAAAACACTCCAACCTACTGTACCCCGGTGACAACACTTCTATGTTAAACTTTTCTGTATTATGACCCTCTACTCAACCAGTGTGCAAGTTTCTCATTAAGTTTCCTTCAATTATTTCAAAATATTATTCTGAGAAAGGATACCTAGGCTTCACCAGACTACCAAAAAGGTCTGTGATGCACAAAAAGGTAAAGTACCCCTATGCTCAGTGGGTTTCCAAAATGACATGGACAAATTAATGTTAACTTGCAAATAATCTTTGAACTGAATTGTAGTTGAATTAAACGGAAGCTAATGAAAAATAACAGAATCCAACAGCTCAAAGGTACCTCAGAAGCCACCTGTATAATCTGTATCGATCCTTGATGTCTCCTTCAAGTTGCCATCCAGTCTGTATCTGAAGACTTCCAACAAGGAAAAACCCTCTGTCTCCTGAGGAAGTCCATTCCACTTCTGGACAGCTCTGATTGTAAAGAAGCTTTTCCTTACATAAAGCCTAAATCTACTTCTTTCCCACTTCTACTCATTGCTTTATGCTACAGGCCAGAATGAATTTTCCCTTTACCGTATTTGTCATTTGTTGTTCAGTCATTTCAGACTTTCCATGACCCTGTTTGGGGTTTTCTTGGCCAAGACACTGGAGTGGTTTGCCCTTTTCTTCTCCAGCTCATTTTTACAGATGAGTAAACTGAGACGAACAGGGTGAAGTGACTTGCCCAGGGTCACTCAGCTAGTAAGTGTCTGAGGCTGGATTTGAACTCAGGTCTTCTTGACTCCAGCTTGGCATTCTATTGACTGCACCACCTAGCTGCCCCATAATACAGCAACATTAACAACCATATAGCTCATATGCATAGTTACAAAGTGCTTGAGGTAACACCTTATTTGAGCCTCATAACTGCCCAGTTTCTATTACATGCAAAGTCTTTATCATGCTCCTGTCTATACAAAGTTAGCAATGAGGTATGTTAAATGAAATCTCACCTGGTCCAGTCTCACAGGTGATGGGGAACTGCTTTATTACAGGCACAGACATGTTTATGTAGTAGTCAGTGTCTAATACCCACCAGTATGGACGCTGTCCAAAAAGAATCCTGTTAGGGAGCAAGAAAGTTGTAAAAAGTTACAGGCTCTTCTTTGCCAAAGAATATATCAGGAAAAAGTGTCATGCACTTACTTTCCTATCTCTAAATGCCCACAGATAGCAGTTTTGTTTAACTCTGATTCTAGAACCACAGAGTATCAGTGCTGGAAGCACTTGAACATCACCAATCTAGCCAATCCTGACATTTTACAGCTGAAGAAATTTGGGTCTAGGGAATAAAGCAATGTACAGAGCTAATGGAAAAAGTTGGTCTCAAACCCAGGTCTCCCAGCTCCCAGATCAGGGCTCTTTCCTTCTCATCACAGTCCATGCTATTCTAAACTATCCCCAAAGGACAGTTTAAAGTTGAGGAATTGCAGTTTAAAACTTAGATTTCTCTGTGCTCGACCATTGCATCTTCATCTTTCTCTCTCTTCTCTTCATTTAGGGAGAGCCCTGACTTTCCACAGTCACAAGATTATAAAGGTTACCCACCCCTTCCATTCCCACAAGAATCCCTAACTTTCAAGAACTGAAGAGCATTTCCTAACTGGAAAATGCATCCCCTGCACCTATATCTTTATACTTTCTGCTTTGGAATAAAAGACTTTGAACAAATGTCTTTTCCTTTCACTTAAAGATGGGCTAGAAAGATAAATTTTTCATTTTAGTAAAAGAGATGTCAAATTTAAGTCAAGATTCCTCTGTCACTCTAAGGTTATGAAATGATAGATTCTTTTTGGATTTAAGGACAATCATTTTCTCCCCTGCTGATAGAGAAAGATCCAGGCCTTGAATCAAATAAAACATCATTAATTCAGACCCCACTAATCTAGTGCTCAATAGAACACAATCTATTGTATAACTCTTACTAAGTACGAAGTTTGAAGGAATTTCATTTATGAATTTCTGGGGGCTTCCAGGTGAGTAGAGAAAATAACCATTTATAATTAGTAACCTTTTCTAATAAAGAACTTGAACATTTCTTCCATATACTTTCAATTTCTGTACCTAATAATGACTTCCTAAACATTAAAAGATTTGTGTTACTAATTCTATTTTATTGGCTTACCTCATTTTACTTGTTTCTCTCTTTCTATCAGTCTTTATATTTTGTACTATATTTCAAAGGTTTTTTAAATTTCATTTTTTTAAAAAAATTGTCATTATTCAGACTTTTCACTAAATTAGATTATCCTTCCTTAATTCCACACTAGTTAACTTTTTAACTCAGTGATGAAGTTCTGCCTCCAATACTTGTGTAAGATATTAAAAGCAAAGAGAAAGTAGCTGATGTCCTCCCAAAGAGTCTGGATAGGGATTGGAAAACAGGTTCCCTTTGGAGGGTCAATGGGAGACAGACCTCTTCCCTTTCCTGATCCCCCTGTTACTCTCCTTCCTTGCCCAGGTTCTTACTTACCACTTAAAAACCAAATTAAGCCAGTCTCCAATCACAGCCACCCAGAGGAGTTTGATGCCTACAGTCTCTTGAACATGGAACCAAATGGGAAAGAGGACATAGAAGGCATTCCTGAGATCTGCAAGCATTGAGACCAAGATGAACCAGTCCTTGGAATCCTTATAATTTACTTGGAGGTAGTGGGTCGATTGGATCCCAAAGTCATGGAGGACGTTCATCCCTGCCTCCATCCTCACCTCCCCTTGGCACTTCTGTAGGTCCTCAGCAAAGCACGTGAAGTTATTTCAGGCTCTGCCGTAAATGTTCTCCTCTTAGATTGATCCTTGCCTCTGTTTTATATTCCCTTGCTTCCAGCCATAGGTCATTTCAACCCTGATCTTTGGACCCAAAAACCACTTTTGTCTAAAATTTATTGATCAAAGGTGCATCACCAGAAGGTTGATGCAAACACATGTGGGATGATTTACGTAAAATAGGAAAACAGGCACACAAAAACAATCTGATCTGCCAGATACTCAGTAGGGGCAATTATTAACCTTTGGTATGCTGTTTGACATTGCAGACAACTGCCCTCCTGTCCTCTTAAACTGGGTCAAAGACCTAGATCAAGTTTAAACTATCTACTACTCTTTGCTTCATTTGGAAGGTTCCCCGATTTGTATACGGAGTTTGTACCCTCTGTTGTATACTCACCAGCTTGTTTGGGAGACATAATGAAATTAACATGCCTTAGTTTAAATCCCTTTGAGTCATCTCTTTGTGTTCTCTAGTGATTCACATATCTAGTTATTAATTAAAAGGAACCAGGCAGTTCTACATCCTGAGAAGAGTTGTTGATTTGATGCCTGTGTCCTCAGCTGCATCCAATCTTCAGAAATATCTGTGGTTTGGCAACCCTCTTTCTCAATATTTGTGAGAGACAAGATTATCATAAGATGGACTAATTAATTAATTTGGCAGCCTTTATGAGGACTTCAAAAACCAGCACTTGCAATTTACCTGAATGAATACCCATCTATGCAAAAATAAATGCCCACAGAAGTAAAATGCCTACTGTCTTGTCAGTCCTCAATTCAGGGACGGCCAACAACATTGAGTGGAACCAAAAACCTTGTGCCAATTGTCTTGAAATTTGGAAGAAGGACCCTGGATACAGGTAGCACATACATGAAAAAGAAGATGAATTAATGAAGGTTGTCTTGACAAAAGGCATTTGTCACGATAATGTATAAAGGGAATAAAATTTTAAAACAACCAATATTTTTCCCCCAACCAATGCAACCTCCTCTTCAATAAGCCCAAGAAGGATAGTCTAACACATCTGGAGCAGAGAGGGATAGGTGGGCTGACGGAGGAATGGAGAAGAGACTCAGAATGAAAGGGTTTGGAGCAAAGGTTGACAATAATCCATGCTGGAAATAATTACAGGAGGGGATGGGATGGGAGGTCCTGATTTGTCAAACTTTCTCAATACATCAGATCCTCCTGGGAGGGTCCCTCTCTCCTCGTGGTGGTCAGGATAGATTTCATAATGAAACATGTCAGTTGAACAATCCTATACCTGGGGAGGCCCATCTTAATAGCTTATAGTTTAGTGTCCTCCTGTGGGAAGGAGCTCCCCCCCTCTCCTCCTAGATAAGCCTTGTTCTCAGAGTACTGAGTAATTCTTTCTTTAAATCTCCTGTCCTGGTTTCAATTGCATGAGGGCAATCTATGCACAAATGGAGCAGACACTGCCTATGTACAAGAAGACAACAACCCTGGGCCCCCATAGGATTAGACTTCCCAAGGGCCACAGTATCTGAGTCTCACAAATCTTGGTCATGTGTCCAGCATGTGGGGAGCAAGAGGAGGGCAGTATCTTCTGGTAGGAACAACAGGGAGCTCTGCTCTTCTTGATAAGGAGTCATTATACAGCTGACATTTGTGTTCTGCAAAAGCAAAGCATGGGACTTTGGGCAGTCTGCCAGGTTTGGTGACAAGCTTGGCTGGAACAACCACGTATTACATCATGAAGCTATTACTGGTCTCCAGCTGCCTCTCACCTACCAACACCTTCCATTCTCCCATTAGCCTCAGTGGCAATCCTTTTCTGCTGCCTCCCGAAATTTTTTATCATGAGATGGAAGGGGGTAAAGCACCAACGAGAAAACTGGTTGGGGGAGATAAATGGTAGAAGACTCTCAAATGTCTCCAAATATCAAACCCTCAAAGATCTTGTGGATATCATGGTATAATGGAAAGAATGTTGACTATGGAGTCCTGGTTTCTAATCCTGTCATTGACACTACCTGTATGACCTTAAACAAGTCACTGAAACTCCCTGAGCCTCAGTTTCCAAATCTGTTAAAAAAAAAAAGAATAAGAAAAAAAGAGGAGATTGGATTGGATGGCTCTGAGATTTCTGCCACTTCTAGCTGGGTTTGAATCCTAGCTCTACTATTCATTCCCTGTGTAATCTGAATAAGTCACTTTTCTCTGGCTCTCAGTTTCCTCCCTTGTAAAATGAGAGGAGTTGGATTAAGTGACTTCTAATGTCTCTTTCTACTCTAGCACTCTATGTTAGCAAGTCAGACCCTAAAGGGCAGAATCTCCTTTCAGTCTTTTTTCCCCTTGCATGTAGTATTGTTTCAATAAATGCTTGTTGAGTTGAATTGAATCAGTTGTGTTTTGTAAGAGGCATTTGAGATTTTGGAAATTTATTTTGCTGACTCCAGAGATTTCATTCCACCTTTCCTTAGTCACCTTTTCCAGCAAATGACAACTCTCCCTTTCAAGAATTTCTTGCTTGGATCTAACTTCAATCTCCCTTTTTACAGTTTGACTCCATTCCCTTTTGTTCAGAGCTGGTTAACTGTCCTTTGGAAAAATGTCTGGTCAGAAACCAGGAGACAGTTAAGATGGAAAAGTTTATGGAGCTCTGTTTGACTGGTGAGCCAGCTGGTCACTGTTAAGACACAGTAAAAAACATAATCTTTGCATGGTTGGCATTTCTGTTTGTGGGAAGAGATGGAGAGAAACTGTCTCCCAGAAAGTACATTTTGGACTGACATGATTAAAAGGAATCTAGGACTTTAATTTTCATTTAAGCAGCATCCACTGGGTTGGGGACCCAGGGCCCTAAAGGGGTAGAGGAACTGCTTTGTCCTTGTCTTCTTGTTGCCATGGTGTTAGCTAGTGCATTTTCAGAATAATACAAGGAGAAAGACCTCATTATCAATGCCGACCTCCCTCTGAGTAGAAGAAAAGTGGATTTCTCTGCAGATTCATATCCAGAATTTAAGCTTGCCAATTCCAAGCTGTGCAGCTTTTAAAAAAAAGTTTTAAAACATCTTTTGGGGGATTTTCTTGGTGGGGAATGGGTAGGTGTAGTATTTAGGAGGAGAAGATGGAAATTGATAAGACAAGCCACTGTTACCTTTGAAATGACCCCACTCAGCTCTACAAAAACACATTGGGAAAAACAGGTTGGAGAAAGAGATGGATTAATTATTGTTAGCCAGTGAAAATGACTGACTTATCTTAGGGCGCAGTGAGAAAGTTCAGCTCTAGGACCTTGAACTGTTCATCTGCTAACCAGGTGAGGAGAGCGTGGTTTGTGTCCCAGTCACCCTAGATGAATAAGGTGAACACTCTGTCCATGTGAAAAAAACACCCTGAAATAATTTGTGGTCATTTAAAAAAAATGAATAGTCAAAGCTCTTGCTAGCTATGTTTACTTCTTTCCCAAACCTTCACTTTTCAAACTACTCATCTCAGTGGTGGTGAGGAGGTGAGGCAGACAGGAGTGTCTGAGGCAAACAGAGCAACAGTGGGTACTGGTTTCCTTCTACAAAAGCTAAATGAATCAATGAATTCAAAAAAGTATGTTATGGACCTACTATGTGCTAAGTATTGTTAGGAACTGGTGGAAATACAAGGTTACATAAGACAAGGTCCCTGGCCTCAGCTCTAAGTCTATGAGTCTTGTGACCCCCATTGGAATCATAAACTGATCCTCTTCCCTGGGGAAAATATGTCTGGTCCAGCCTTCCAAAAGTCTTCCTAAATGATGGGACAACAGACTATCTGGTTCCTCCCCTCTAAAAAAGATGTTCAATCCAATTCAGTAAACACTTATTAAGTATTTACTGTGGGCAAAACATTGTGCTTTGTCTTTGGAACAGGATGGGGATGGGGCAGGGAATTTGGAAAAGATTTCTTCCTCATGGGGCTTGGAGTTTAGTAGGGGCATTTGACATATAAACAGATGATTATAAGTATAATGATTGTTGAGTTGAGTTGAGTTGAATTGGTTATATTTTGCAAGAGGTATTTGGGCTTTGAGCACACCAAAGGACACGTCACAGCAGAGTGTCATGGAAGTACAAGGGGGATGGGTTGTTGGGGTACTAGAGAAGGTTTGAACGATGAATTGCAGTGTAGAAAATGTAGAGGTAGGAATGACCGTTAGTCCAGACAGGTAATGATAAGGATTTGTACTAGGGTAATGACAAGGGGACCAGAGGAAGGAAGCGAGAACTAAATCCCAGATAGAATTGATGCTACTCACTAACTTATTGAATGCAAGATACGAGGGAGGAAGCAAAGATAAACAGAGGTTTTAAACTTTGGAGACTGGCTGGTGGCACAAATAGAAGTAGCAAAGTCAGAAGCAGAAGTGGGTTTTGAATGAAAGATATTTAGTGAAAAGTTAGGTGTTTTGGTTTTTTTAACCTCCTTTGGTAAGACTAAACCACCCTCGAGAGTTTGGGGAGGGAGTCTTCCTGATATCCAGTGTAAATTTCTACCCTTTTGGGCTAAAACTTTCTTGACTCTATTACTTAAGCTAGACAGAGAATTTCGTCTAGCCATCTGAAAACTTCAAAGTTATTGGTTGGGATAATTTGGAAAAGGCTCAGCTCCTATGGAAACTCTTTTTTTTTTTTTTTTCCATTTGGCCTGGTTTATCCTCCCTTGTGGAAAACAAGAGCTATTTCTGAAGTGGAGTGTGACTGAGACTGAAACTCTAGCTGCTTAAACCTTTCCTTGATCTAACTCAACTGGCTTTTTCGAGGCATGACTTACTGAACATTAATGCCATCTAGATGCAAACAAAAGGAGATGGGAGGGAACTGGGTCATCCATCCATCTGAAGAGTGATGAGGATAAACCCTCATAAGATGAAAGATTTAAACATATTACTAAAGGTAGCTGGGGGAATAAAAGATTTTGCCCTACTAGTTGAACAGGCTTCTTAGGAAGTTGGTCTGATTTTATCAAACACATGTCCCTCTCCTCCCTTATCTTGGCCCAG